GTTAATTTAAAAAAGCGAGTGTAACTATTACATATGAAAGTTTTATAAATGAAATTCAAAATTAACTAATGTATGACTAATTTCTAAATAATAAATCATTCAATTTAAATTAGTAGTCCAAATGCGCTTTCACTTGTAATTGAGGAGATCAATTCAAATATTAATGAAGATGATTCTTTAAGGTGCTTTGATTATGATTATTTAAATTTAAGTTGTAACATTTTATTCATTAAAATTCACATGTAAATAGTGGAGTATTATCTTACATTTTAATCATTTAATTTGCAATTTCTTCTTATTTGGAACAATGAATAGACCAAAGGTACAAACACAAATACTTGAGGACAAGCACGGGCTTAAGTTAGAGGAATTTGTTAAGTAAAATTTATGTTTTTTTTAATGTGTTAAATTTCAATAAAGGTGTGTTTTTTAGTTGACGTTGTGCATGAATATCTCAAGAGAAAGGGCAAAAATTATGAAGTTAATAACCAACGTCACAACACCAAAACTATCAATGACATAGCATCTTTAATGTCCTAACGCCAAAATAGCATATTACAGTGTCGAAGCCTAAAAAACTATTCCATTTAATCCAGGCAACCCTAAACCCTAAACTACACTGAGGAGTGGAAAAGGAGTGTAAATAGTGAAGGTGCAAAAGGAGAATTACTTTAGGAAGTGTCCATCTGTAGGATCTATTTGAGATTCTTCAATTTGGGTGCTATTTTTTTCATCCTTCTATTTGTACTCTTTTCTTGAGTAAGTAATTTAAAGTGTTTTGCTTAATTTTATTTCTATGGACTATTAAACTCTAGTTTTGGACTGATGATGTGAAAATCTGTGTATATTATAATGTAGACTTTTGTTAATAAATGTGAATTATTATTTTTAATATATTTCATTCTTAATTTAATTTGTGCAATGACCATGTATAAATTTAAAATCTAGTGTGATACATTATCTCGACAGAGGACAGTTAGAATTATTAGGTGTATTGAAATGAAATACTATCATACCTATACATGCGATGATTAGGATTCTAGAATATATGGACATATGATAATTGTAGCGTAAACCTTTCTTTACTCCTTTACAAACTTGTCAGAGATCTAAAACTGCATATGTTGAATATTTCTATTTGTTCTCATCATTAGTCCAAAACATATTTATTTTGATTATCTCAACTATTTTCTGTATTCCTCAATATTTCTAGTAATTAACCCTACCCTTCTTTCATCGTGTGGAATAAATTAAGTAGTTTTAGTAGGCAATACTAGAGTCAATTGTGGTTCAACTATTTTCTCGTGGGTTCGACATTCATCTCATAACACTTTATTACTTGATCGACACATGCACTTGCATTAGTTGGGATTATTTAGCATATGAATGTGTAGTGGTAAGCAATTTCATTAGCATTATAATTTTTCCACAAATAAATCATTAAAAAAACTCTCAACATACACAAAAACAAAATACTCCATCAGCTGTCAAATTAGTTCAATATGAAAAAATACTAGTAACTTAAGTTTTGTTGGATCAGACTATACAATATGGATCGTACGATACAATTAGTTTAACCAGTTCAATGTTCATCCGGGATGAATAATAGTTTGCCCAATAAATGTTCTATTTGTTCTCATTGTCTGATTTAAATCATATAGTATGAAGTTTAAAAAAATTTGATCCTGATTCGATTGCTTGATTCTCAGATTAAAATAGGCAAAGTATATTAATATTCATATAGTATGATCAAGATCATATATCATGATTAATTTAATTTAAAAAAAATCAAATTTACCTATTTTTTGAAATCCACAATCACAGGCGGGTATGATCAAAATAACTGATCGTTCTAGATGATGAAGATCATACATTATGATTAATTATTATATTTTTTAATTTTATTAATTTTTATAAAACACTTGATTTAATTTTTAGAAAAAATGATTATACAGTAAGATCAATATCATATAGTATGATTTAAAAGACAAATCAAGTGTTTCATTTTGATCTCCACTCGTGAGAGTGTGCTTGATTGGCTTGCCAACATACATCTAAACATATAATAACTCAATAAACGAAAAATACAGTCTCATATTGTAAGTTTAACAACACCATTTCTACAATTCTTGAGCTCATTTTTCTTTAGATCTAAGTTTTTGAGTGTTGTCTACAATTTTAATCCATGTGTCATACCTGAAACATTAGTATAACAAAGCTAGTCAGTGATCAAAATAAAAAAAAAGCTAGAAAAAAAAATTGCAAAAAAAAAAAAAAAAAGGTAAGGGATTTGTCTAAAAATGTTTGAAATCATCAAAATCTCAAAAATAGATAAGTTTCATGAGTTTCAACATAACCCACCAACTAGCAATGTCAAGATTTTTAAGAACTTTTGAGATAAAAAACATCTTACAAACAATATTCCATAGCCTTACAATAGTCACATTTTCAAATTGGAAGATTGAAAGTTATAGGAAGAAGAAGGCAATAATAGGCACAAACTCACATGTAAAACTCTCCTTAAGTGTTTGTAAATCAAAGCTCAAAGAGTTTCATTAAAGAATTTTTTTTCTCTATGTTCTCCACTGATTTTTCCTCTTTTTCTCATAATCTAACATTTTGAGAGAAAAAAAAAAACATTTTATATTAACGGCCTTAAGAACAAAAGCCAAATTTTTTAAAATTAAACAAAATAATGTTTGATCGTATAATAAGATCTAAATCATACAACACAGATAATTAAATCTGACTTGTATTGTTCCACTTTTAACAACAACTAATTAATTATATTAAATAAGAAAAAATTGATGTACATTGTATAGTCTGATGTACATTATACAAAATGATGTAATTATAGATTACGATAGATTTAATTTTAAATGAAGTTAATTAAATTGGTAATTTTATCATTTGAAATAAAATTAATCGTATGATATGACTGAGATCATGCTGTACGATTGGATATTATATCATTAATCAATATAAATTGATAGGTTCCTCGATTTTAGATTTGCGTGCACTACTTATCTTCTTAACATGAAAATACATACAAGACTAGAAAAATAAATATATTTTTGACACTTGTAGCTTCATCATTAAATTTTCCTTAATTTTTCTAGACTTGTAAAATTTGTTCTTAGAGTTAGTTTGCAGTTTTGAGCTACCCAATATTTCGGAGTTTTGTATGTTCTTCTTTGAGCGTACCTAATTTATATTTTTTTGTTCATCTAATATAAATCTGCAATCAATTAATACTTCAAATCTGCACAAGAATTTGTTGATAAAATTAACAGAACAAAATTATATATTTGACAATTTGAAAGTATTTACTCGTTTTTGCATATTTAATTTCAGATAAATTTGATCCAATTAAATAACATGTGTTCAATTTTGCTATTACATTGTATATTTGATAGATTGTGGGGAAAGAGATCTGAAGTCTCTTTTAGTTGCCGAAAAGAATTGCGTATTGAAGTTATTTTAGTTAATGATCAAACATTACAACAACAACAACATCAAGTCTTTATCCTATTATGTGGAGTCGGCTGCATGAATCATGTTTCTCCATTGTTTCTTATTAAAAGTTAAATTCCCTTTAAATTTAATAAGGAAATATCATTTCTAATATTTTCTAATCAAATTTTTTTAGGTCTACCTCTTTTTAATATAAGTCAAATATATTATATCTATTTTCCTTATCAGGTTATCAGAAGGCCGTCGTTTTATGTGAGCAAACCATCTAAGGCTTTTATTCTTTTCACCTATATGCTCATTTTTTGTATCTTGTCTCTAAGAGTAAATCCACTCATCCATCTTAGCATCCTCATCTCTGTAATATTTAACTTAATACTATGCTTCTTTGTTAATGACCAACATTCTGAACAATAAAACATTGCAAGTCTAACCATCCTCTTATAAAAATTTCCCTTAATGATCAAACATTGAATTTTTTTTTTTTAATTTGAGAGTAACGCTCATTTATTCGCTATCAAAAATAATTACAAAGGTACAAGAGCAACCAAAAGGCAAACCCAAAAGCAATGAGTCCAGAATAATCGCGAGTTGTGAAATTCACAAGCCCCAAAAGAGGAAGAAGGTAGAATACAATATAAATGAAAAAAAAAGGACTCAATTGTTCCAAAATGATTCTCTAACATAATATGAAGATGCATAAACGATAACCCACTATAACACAGTTGCTCAAATGCCCATCCAGACAAAATACTGAAAGTACCGTTAAAATCTTCCTCGGTTTAAATACATCACAATATACAAATATCAATGATTCTATTTTTTCATCGCTGGATTGGCCCAAGCAAAGTCAATGAAAATAATAATGATCATTTCTAATATTTTTTAACTAAGTCTTTTTAGAACTACATTTACCTTTCTTAACATAAGTCAAATCTAATACTTCAACTTTTCTAACCGTGTCATCGGAAGGCCTTTGTTTAATGTGACCAAACCATCTAAGGCGACTTTCTTTAATCTTATCTTTCACTGGAATTACTCCAACCTTTTCACGTATATGCTCATTTCGTATCCTATCTCTATAAAGATTAGCTACTCATCCACCTAAACATCCTCATCTCTGCAACACTTAACCAAGTATTATGCTTCTTTTTTTATTGACAAGATTTGGCACCATAAAGCATTGCAGGTATCACCAACATTACATTATATGTACAATTAATTAATTTAAAAAAAATAGAAATATTCAAAGATAATTTATATGGAAATATAAAATATCCTAAATAATTTTTTTCTCAACCGTTGAGTCGACCAATAAGGAACATTCACTCCGGCGGCGTCATCATGGACGGTCCAGATTTACAGATCGCGATCTCCCAAAAACACCGTTCACACCCGATCTCGTCCCAGAAAATAGATATTAAACAAATCGAATCAAGCATACCACAGGGAGCATCCACGGCTCGAGCATATCCGTGGACGGCTGAGATCGATGAATTATATTCTATTCTTTTCCCTTTATCGAATCAAAAGAGGGGGCGGTCGCTTCGTCGTCTTCTTTCGGATTGAAAGCACAAAAGCAAGAGGGATCTTCGCGTCTCTTCTTCCTCTCCTTTACAAGGGGGGAAAAGATAGAAGGTAAGAAGATGGACTCTTCTCTGGGATGCCTTCCATCTGAGCCGGCGGAGGTTATTGGCTCTGCGAAGGAGGTGGAGGAGAGAGGAATGCTACCGCAGGTTGATTCCTTCCTCGTGGAGGCCCTTGAGAATCCTCGTCATCGTCTTACCGGTTTGTTTTTTTTGTCTTCTGCTTCTTTTGCCCTACTTTTATTTGCTCACTCTATGGCTTTTTGTCAAGTCTTGTTCTGTTTGTAGTTGAGGGAGCTGAAAATATTGTTTGCTTAGGGCTTGCACCTTTGTGGAGTTGGTGTGTTTGAATTTTTTAATTTTTTTTTAATTTTGAGGGCGTAATCGTTGATCCTTCGGTAATTAAGGTCTCGCTGATCGTTTGATTAGGGTTTGCTTGTTTTTTGTTTTTATTTTCGTGAAATTATTTTTTTATTACTTTCCTGGGGCACTGATTAGCTAAGCTTTTTATTTTCTTTCTGGATCATATGGGAAATCTATTTGCTCGATGCAATACGATTTTAATATGCGGGATTAGATTTGGATTGTCGTAATTGTGATCTGGAGAGCCTATTGAAAGTTTCGTTCTTTAGCCTTTGTTACTTGAAGATTCATATATGGTATTACTCTCCTTCATATGGTCTCATGTTACAGTTATGCTTCTATACTTTTCAATAGTACTATGTACCCGTAACACAGAGCAACTAAATTTCCTTGATGAGCTCAGACTTCAAGCACAACAAAGTGTAGAACTTTATCATGCTTGAATAATATGGGCACTCGATTAACTCTCATAATTCAAAACTTTTCTATTTGTGACTTTATGTTAATTCTATGATTAACCATTATCCTAATTATGCAACGTGGAGATGCAGTGTTAGAATTTTTTACTTTCCCGTTGTAACTAAACATTTCAAATCATGAGAAAGGCACTTTGTCATGAGTTCGGTAAGAAAGTAAAAGTACCTAGACTCTCTGCGGTGTTCTTGAACATTATCTTATCTGTAATATTAACTCTATTTTTTTAGTAATTTGGGGTTCCTAAGTAGCTGAAAGAAGGTTAAGTTTTTTTTTTATAATTATGGTTAAGTACATAATGCTCGCGTGTCAATAATGTTCTCTTTTGTCGGTAGAGTGAAGTCACATCCTCTATGTCTTCAACTGTGGAATTCATAGGTTTTCTACATCTTCCCCTTTGGACACACCTGTATGCAAGTAATCAATACAAGAGACCAACCAACTCCTTGATAGGATGAAGTTCTTGGAGAATCCTTTGATGCTCAAGTTATTACTGATCTTTAGGAAGAACTTGAGTTGAATGTATATTTAATGAGCTCGTGGAATATTGGGTTGATTGAATCATAGTGGAACTGGTTCTCTGAAGTCATGGTTTGAAATTGCATGATATGAGACCTACCTTAACAATTTTTTCACGATGAGGCACACACTTCATGGTGTGATATGTGTGGCATGCTTCACATCAGTTTTGCTTAAGTTTGTGCAATTTAGAGCTAGGATTTTTTTTCAAAGAAATATAAATAAAATACAATCAATAAAACTATTCTATTAACCCACTTTATCTCTCTTGCCTCACACACATCTTTTCTCTTGTTCTCATGACAGACCAGAGCGTCTCTCTTCTCAAACACCCCCTTCTCCCCTCTTTCGTACCTACATATTATGTAGACTACTCCAAGCGAAAGATACAGTTGCATTAAAAGGAAATATGGTAGGATTCTCTCAATTTTAATTGTGTAATTTTATTTTATTTTTTTAAATAATGAATTCAGTTTGGTGAGGCACTCTAGACTATTGCAATTTGCTATTAAATATTTGTCCTTACATGTTCATCATCTGATTGTGAATGAAATCCATAGAACAAGCTTTGCTAAGCGACGGAGTACATACAATCAAGTTCTTATCTAAATTATAAGTATTTTAATTACCTTAAGGATGAACTTAGTTTACATCATGCATGACAAGAGATTAAATGATAGACATTTGAAAAAAATGCTTTTGAGGATGATAAAAATCCCTTTTTATCCCTTAGTTTGTAATGACATGACAACATATATGAATGGTTTATGGATAATGATGATGAAGTTACACCATCTATGTTGCAATTAGAAGATCTCAATATTTATTTCTTTGATGAGGATTGAAGCAAGATCAATTGGTCTAACACAAACTAGCAAGAAATAAATAGATAAGGTATCTAGAAAATGGGATGTAATTAAAGTTGTAGCCATCAATATAGTTATTATTCTATATATTAATTAATATTCTTACTAATTAGGGAGGAAGAAGAAGATGATGGAGATCGAAAATGATGAAAAATATTGGGAGAACATTGACATAATCCATAATGAGGTTGGGGAAAAACAATTCATTATGAAAATGATTCTAATGAAGGCCCCCTAAATGATGAGAGTACTGTGGACTTTTGACTTTAGAAATACTAATTTTGCTGGCTTATTTCATAGCTTATTGTATAATAGTAGGAAGGAGAGAAATAATTGTTGTATTGAATTTATTTCGATTTGTATGTTATTAATTCTTATATTGATATCTTATTTTATTTTGATTTTTGTGTGACAAGTTTATATTATGATGTTAATATGTTGCCCACACCCCTATAGGGGAAGCATCTATAAGTTAAGGTGAAATATTTGTGGCTGATGGCCCATCTAACTACTAGAGTTGAGTTAAGTTTTGGGTAGGCTTTCTTCCTATTATCTAGAAGAAACCAAGGCGGTAGAGATCATAGGGGCAATTGCTAGTCTCCCTTGACATTGCTCTGAAGATTCAGAACAATAAGAAAAAGCCTAACACCATTATGTGGCATAGTGATATGTTATTACTGATGACTTTAGCAACCCCTTAGGAGAAAATGACTGTTGCTAATCATCATTAGCATTGTTCATATTTTTTAATAGAGAATGTTGCACTATAGCCAATAAAATCTTTTGAAGCTATACTACTATAGTACATATTACATAGTGCATGATGATCCAGGAGGCTCTTATGAAATGGTGAAATTATTATTGGAAGGTTAGAAGTGCAATTATTGAAAAGTGACTAACTTTCAAATTGGCAAATTGAAATTCTAATAAGATGGGACAATCAAGGAGGAGAGAGAAATACATGTGGAGCAAATTAAGGAAACTACTCAAAATACACCTATATATTCTGCTTAATCCTATCATAGTCAACCAACATAGTCAACCAACCTAAAAGAGATCCATGAAAATGTTCTTTTGAATTAAGTCATAGTCATCTTCATTTAGTATGTTTTAAGCTAGTGATAGGAAGGGTGTCTTAATCAATGGTTTACAATAATGTATGGTTATTCTTATCAATTGAGGCTGTAAATTGGCCTCAATGTAAGCATGATGAAATAGTCGAATTTAGAATGAAATTCTTTAATTCCTCTAAAAATTTATTGACAACTCTATCTCTCTTTTGTGTCTAGGATTCATACTCAAGCCATTAGAACGCCTCCCAAGGCATGGCCCAAACTCATAGGTTATGAATTCTAAGTTGGATATTGTCCCTTATCTATCTCTCTCTCTCTCTTAGAATTCAAAAATCACCCTTTTATTACTCAATTTTTGAACCCTAAATTTTGTTCTTAGGGTTATAAACACCATCATAATTCCTGAAATATGTTTTTTTCTAATTGTTGGAGAAGTCTTCCGCACCCCAATTTTAAAACAAGTTAGTTTCAAATCATATCTTTGATTCGTAGGAATTTTGATATGGTTAGATTAATAAGAATTGCACTCTTGTTTTTTCTATGGAAAATACGATCAACAATTATGAGGTTAGATTATAGATAATTTAATAGTATCTCTATATTTTAAAGGAAAATATGGCAATGATGATGGCTTCCTTTGATGACTTTTCTGCTAAAGGTGACACCATAATTTACTCCATGACTAGGTGTATTGACAGAAGGAGAGCATTCACCTAAAGACTACCACCTGCATTAGGAACTTTTATTCGGTCCAGTGAACGTACGCTTCTCTACGTTCGGCCACCAATGTTTTAGCGCCACGTAGCATGAAGAAAAGACGCCGACCCGTCCCGCTGTTTTTTGGTTCTCGCACGTGCGTTTTTTTTAAATCCTTAACGAGCCGAACAACATCCCATCACCTTTTGGATATATTTCAAATACTTAGCAAATACCGGGTTGTACCTAGTTTTTTCTAGCAATACCGAGCAAATACCTAGCAATACCGAGCAAATACCGAGTTGTACCTAGTTTTTTCTAGCAATACCGAGCAAATACCTAGCAATACCGAGCAAATCCCTAGCAATACCGAGCAAATCCTGAGCAAATACTGAGTTGTACCGAGTTGTACCGAGTTTTTTCTAGCAATACCGAGCAAATACCTAGCAATACTGTGCAAATCCCTAGCAATACTGAGCAAATACCGAGTTGTACCGAGTTGTACTGAGTTGTAGAAAAACTCGGTACAACTCGGTATTTGCATGGTATTGGTCTTCACATAGCGGTATTTCTCATTTTTGCAAAGCAATACCTAGCAAATACCGAGCAATACTGAGAAAATCGCGAACATAGCATTACCGGGTTCCGCTACTGGTCAAGTCATCGGGCCGAGCGGTAAAGAGTAAGAGCACGTGGCGACATGTTATTGGCGGTCGAACGTAGCGCTACGTCAGGTCAGAGGACGTAATAATTGTTCATGCATTAGAGAGCCAATTAAAAAAATTAGGAAGATCCCAGAGAAGAAAGAAAGATGAATACCTTCTGTTCAAGGCAAAGGAAAATTTGGAGATTTTTTTTTTTTAACTTTAATGACCTTATCAAGGATAATGTAATTGACCATTGGTTTGTATTTTAAGAAGCATGTTTCATGGTTTACGATTATCCTGATCCGGAAGATATTTATACACAATCTAAAATTTATGAGATGCCAACCATATTACAATCAAGTTTAAAGATTATTGAAAGTCTAATTCTATCCCATTAGACACAAAGAAGAAAAATGGATATGATGATATAATTTGAACGCATCTACTTTAGAAATTTTGTTAAATGATAAATTTGTATTCATGAGATATGTGAAGGGGCTTTATGAGAGTCTTTTCATAAATAATAGCTTTTCTAGCTAGTAATATCTTTGAATTTAACATCAA